TTTTAGTTGAGAAAAAGAAGTGCACGCAAAGGATTTCACCAAAATGTATTGAAATATAATTTTTTTTACAAAAGTGCCATTTTGGCACTTTGTGCCAAATTGAAAAATTAAGTGCCATTTGAAGTAAAATAGGGACAAATGGCACGGTTTGAGCCAAGTTGGCATCACTGCTTCTAATAACTTGCAAATATAAAAATGTGAAATATCGAGGGCTTGAATTCACAAAAACTAATTTGTGATTTTAGAAACCATCTGGGACTTATTACCTGTCGTTATATAAGGTAGCATTAATATCACTGATGACGGTTAAATACTAGGTGGATTTTTATATCAGAATCTCATCTTTGTGAACAGTTTGCAGATAGAGGGTATTTTATTGAATATAAGCCCTCGATGTTTAAAATATATAAAAATTTTATTTCAACGTATACAAAAAATAAATCTACCTTCGTTACAGCACGAAGGGAGACGGGGAAGGGGGGCCGGGGGGCCGCGGCGTAGCGTGACGTGGTGTGCGCGCCGGTCGCGTGGGATACGCGGGCCGCCGCAAAGCTAAACAAATTTAATGTTTGAAAGAGAAATAATGTCAATGGATTTTATTTCGTTTTTAAAAAGGTAATAATGTCAATTGACTTTATTTCGCACCAGGGTGGGAAATAAAGTCAATTGACCTTATTTCCGTTGATCTTATTACCTGTCACCCCAGGGTTATCAGAGAGAATCAAATTTTCCAATCTATATGATAAAGAGAACGTCCAATTAGTGTTTACATACGACAATACTCTGAGAAGTATATTTAGCATCACGAAAGACAAAATTCCCAAGCATGAGAAATCTGATGTAGTATACAGTATTCCATGTAATGGCGACGGGTCCCACGTATGCAAACAAGTATATGTGGGCACAACCAAATCAAAACTTAAGACAAGGATTTCCGCTCACAAATCGAACGTAAAATTAAGGAACACTTACTCGGACAACAAGGCGGCCTTGTCATCACACTGTAAACACACGGGACATTACCCTGATTTTGATAATGTGAGTGTCTTAGAAGAAGAGAAAAATTACTACAAACGCTTTATATTAGAAATGCTCCACATTGTGAACACCCCTAATGATAAAAGGATGAATTTCAAAACAGACACTGGAAACTGTGCCCATGTCTACCGCAACATAATATTAAGGCACAACAAATAAGCCTAATATTGTTTATTATTCGTTCCGTGTCCGAACTTCGTCTATGATAACATTGCAATGCTGGATGATTTGCATACATATTTATGTCGTACTGTGTGCCGTCCAATGCAATGTTGTTTGTATGATTTTTTGTTTACAATTACTGTTCTTTCATTTGTTTATATTTTTATGTCCATTTCGTCTCATTGTTTGGTTTGTTAAATCTTTTCATTTTTGCACACATTAGTCTACCAGGCGCAGCCGAATGTGTAAGTTGTGCTTATATACAGTATGTTGATAGTCTTTTATGCATTTTTTGTAATTATGATATTTATTGCAGTCCTGATGATGACTTCAGACTGAAGTCGAAATATAGACGATTTAAAAACAACAAAAACAGATTGTTTTATTTCAACCCGGCCTTGAGCTCAAAAAAATATCAACAGAATTTTCAATTAACGGCCAAATATAAATAAACAATATTCGAAAAAATGTAAATATTTCAAAAACGGTGACACTTTTACCTGAAAATTTTTTGTTTATCAGTGAGCTCACCCCCCCACCTACCTTCCCCTAAAGTTTGGCAGGTTACTTCTGGGACACCCTGTATGTATCTCGGTAACCGTTCTACCAATTTGTACCAAACTCGGTATGATTATTGTGCTTGCCACATGGAAGCAAAACGTTGAAAATTATTGGAATCATATTCAAATTACGACCACTTTTCATATAACGGCATATTTCAGAAATGCTTAAACTTCAATATTTCGAAATTTAAGGACGCTAATTTACTCAAAATTGATGCACACCGGCTTACCATGTAGCGGCAGCTTTCGCAAAGGTGAAAATCATATACTTAGTACCTGCGCCGGGTATTTAATGTTCGGCTCCGCCCAAACTTAGACTTTCTTACTTGTTTTTTTTTTTTTAATTTTTTGAAATAATCATATTTTCCAAATTCCAAACTCCTTTAGAAAAATCCTGACGTCAGAGAGAAAAACTAAGTACGCACTTATACGTGACTCAAACAAATGACCACGTGTTTTTTTTATACCCGAGCGCAGGGTCTTATAACTTTGTTCACATAACAGTTGTTTGTAACAGGCAAAACGTATCGTGATAGATATAGACAAATGTATACATATATGATCAGAATTAAAAGAGAAATCGATTAAGCGGTGACTGTCCGTCCGTCCGTCTGTGCACACGATAACTCGAGTAAAAATTGAGATATCTTAACGAAACTCGGTACGTGCACTTCTTTCGGGCGTAGGACGGATGATATTGAAAATAGGCGTAATCGGACAATAACCACGCCTACCCCCCATATAACGGTAATTTTCAGAAATAAGAAAACTGCGATATTTTAGTAAATACTGAAGATTATTTACTTAAAATTGATATTTACAATTATTTTTAGACGAAAAATAACAATATTTTAAGTTTTTGGAAAATGGGCGTTGCCGCGCCCACTTATGGTTTCATGTGTATGGCTTGGTAGCCGCGCTCACATCCTATATAACGGTAATTTAGAGAAATACGAAATATTCGATAAATCAGTAAATATGAAAGCTAATTTATTGAAAGTTGATGCTTGCAACAATTCTTTACCAAGAAATAAATTTATGATGCAATTTTGGAAAACGGACGTGGCACCGCCAACTTATGATCACATATATGTATGTCGGTAACCGTTGTACCAATTTGTGCCAAACTCGGTATTGTTATTGTGCTTGCCACATAAAAGCAGAACGTTGAAAGTTATTGAAATCGGACTAAAATTACGGAAGCTTTTCATATAACGGTAAATTTCAGAAATGCTTGAAACTTCAATATTTCGAAATTTATACACCCCGGCTGACCATGTAGCGGTATTTTTCGGAAAGGTGAAAAACATACATTTAATACTTGCGCCGGATATTTAATATTCGGCTCCGCCCGAACTTAGACTTTCTTACTTGTTAAATATTCGTAATGTTTTTCGAGCTAATTTTTTTGTTGTTATTTTTCTATAAAAACACCGCTCAAGCTTTAACAAACACAACCTTTTGTAAGCGAGTGACAAACCGCGGCTGTCAATAATTATCTAACCTTGTATTATTGAATCATGATAAATCACAGTTACAAGCTTTATACAAAATTTAGGAAAATTCCACAAATTTTCATCAAAATTTCAACTTTTTAATCTGATTCTTTAGTACGTTTTTAGGTATGCAGTCTTAGTCCAATGGAGTGCAAGTTTAAAACGGCTAAAAAATCCCGTTGATTTCTGAGAATTTTTTTTGGTGACGGATTTTTTTCCATATAAGCATGAATTTCATATGAAATAAAGTGCGGGAGACCGTTAGCAACAAATTTCAAAAAATCAACGACATTTTTCGTAAATTAAAAAGTAATATAAAAAAACAGCAAATGTAGTCTTCAAAAAACAATTATCAAAAATCAGCGCGTTTTTTTAGGTGGTTGAAACTTACACTTAACTAAAATTGTATGGGCCAGAAAACTGCATACCCAAAAATGTTGTAAAGATTCAGATTAAAAATTTTAAAATTTGCTGAATTTTCCTAAAATTTGTATAAAGATTGAAATTGTGATTTATATGTTTTTTACTACCGGGCATAGAATTTTCCTTTCAGCTGCCATTTCTTAGTATTGTATACTACATAGAAGGTAAACTTCAAAGGTTAGGGGGGGGCAGGGGAGCGGGATGATCGAGCCTCCCACCACCCTGCCCCTAGGTAGCGACGCCCATGGGCACCTACAGTTTTACGCCGACTCATGGCAGAAATACAATCGGAGATTTGCTTTTGCCTGCCGAGGAGCGAACGCTGTTAAGAAGAAACCTTTTTTTTTAATTTTTGTGGGATGTTGCTTTGACCAGGGCTTGAACCCAGGCGCTGCGGAGTGGAAGCGCGCACTGTTTACCACTACACCACAGCGGCCGCCACTTACTTACTTAAACAGGTCTCTTAAAAAGAGCTACAACATTTGCCGCACCAAAATCAGTGTTGCCCTGTGTTATTATTATTGCATATATACATACATACATACATAGTACGTATCTGTAGTTCTATCGCTACGTAACCACTAGCTTGTTTCTGTAACAACTCTCACGTATGAATTCGCCGCCTTGTTCTCTACTGCTAATGAGCAGTAGAGAATGACGTATGTTCTCTACCAGTAGAAATAATCGGTAGAGAAGAGTTACAGGAACGAGCTACAGGCCTGTAACCCTACCCTACTTCAAGAGGCGTCTAATACATATGTGTGTATATATTTTTGTGAAATCATTCGCGTGTACTACTTGTTCATCAACTAAGATATTCTCATCTATACATACATCGGCGTAGCCAGAATGAAATTTAAGCTGGCATTTCAGGGTACTATTTTATATATATGTATATAAGGAAAATTTGAAAGTTAGGGGGGGGAGCGGCCCGAGCACCCCCCTGCCCCTACCTGGCTACGCCCATATATTTTTATATGTACCTGATGCCTCTTATATTGGCACCGCTTGATTTACAATAAAGTGATGTTAATACAAATGAACAAAAACATGTTTGTTTTTTTAAAAATGTCTTTTTTACACATTAGGCTTAAACAAAATTATACCGTACCAAAGCTTGGACATTAGTTTGCATAAATAAATTGTTCACATGGTAATGGACAATATAGCTTTCAGAAAAATAAGCAAGCTAGAACTAATCTGGAAAAAACACGACACAGTATAAATACAATCCATGCCTTTTTCTGAAAATGCTATTTTGTGGGCCTTTGTAGTTAAGCATATATGTACATACATAAGTAAAATAAAATTCAATTACCATCATTATCGTTAGCATGGACAGAACTGCTCGAGCTTATGGACGAAACACTTCCTCCCACAGGATTCTTATCTATAACTTGAACAAAGTAATTTAATAAGTTAGTGAAAGCTCCATTTTGTACAGTATGTTAAATGTTTGTTTTAATAAGATATCTAATTTAGGTTTTAAATATTTATGTATCTAGTAAAATTGCTACTTATATGGGGTATTCACAACGGTGTCGTAAGTGTCGTATTGTTGTATGTCGTAAACTTTAAACGCATAAAAAATGTATTAAGAGGGTTTGAAAAGTACCACCAAAGTCATATTATGAGATTTTGCGTTGTTAAAAAAATAGTTGGTTGTCCATTCAAGTTCTCTAAACAGTTATTTAAGCTTTTAAAGTTTACGACATACAACAATACGACACTAACGACAACGTTGTGAGTCCCCCAATAATATTTTTTGTCAGCAACACCTGTTTGATTACTGCTGGATGAAAGTATGCCTATGCACTTATACTTTCCTATTGATAAATTGATAAATACAAACCGCCGCCGCACAGAGGTGCGAAAAGGTAATCTAGAGAGACATTTGTGATTTTGGTGAAGTGTCAAATTCAAATATTTTTTACTTACAATTCTGTAACACACTAGTTGATGCAAAAGAATCCACTTTTCTTTTGTAAAAAAAAAAAAACATATTATATGGAGTAAATACGCTATAGTTAGTACACAACTTCTATTTGCTTTCTGCTGACATAAAAATTGTAACAAGCTATTGAAGTGTCTCGACAATTCTGCATACTATTTTGCAATGGAAGCATCAAATTGGTTTAATTCTTTCCTATTAATATTAATTTGTTTTTGTTATTTTATGGCCTTATAACAATTATATTCAAAAATTTTTATTGAGCTCGAGGCCGTTTTTATATGAAAAACTATTGTGGAAAAGCAACAATAATTTTTATTATTATTATTATTATTTGTTTTTAATGGTAGAAGTGATAGCTATTTCGGAAATCACCACATTTCCTCACCAGACTTCTTTCAGTAGGATTCGAACCGACGATCCTACTGACTCAGCCAGTTGCCTTCGCACTCTGCTAAGTTCGCCTTGTGAATTATTGTTGCTTTTTTCCACTGGCCACAACCATCGATAGTTTACCAGCTCTACTTTGGTATCGATAATTACTATAAGGTATGCGCAAGATGAAATTAGTGCACAAAACAATACCAATTACTTTTAAAGTACTTGATGAATTAAAAAGAAAAAGAAATATTTTGAAAAATTTTTAGTTGTTTTAGCAACCTGTTTTGTGCAAATGCTATGTTATTTTTTGCATACTATTGAATTGTTGATTTGCTGTGTTGGCATGAAACCAAATGAAGCCAAAAAATTTTGGAGATTTCATGCTGTCTTTTAAATGGTAAAAGTAGTTATTTTAAGCACTCCTAGATATGTAATTCCGTGTTAATTGTCGCAGTTGTAACAACAAACGCACAAACGAACTGCTACGCATACCACAACTACAAGCGCAAATTGTCATAATTTAATAAAAGTTAAATAAAGAGCAGTTTTTGATAGAAGACGAGTTAAAAACGTAAGGGGTATAGGTATTACATACACTGCAAGTATACAATTTTTGTATTTTTTCGGTTATATTACAAAATCCTTCGAAACATCCTTTTTTCAGTTAAACACTAATTTTTATTTAAAAGAGTGGCTAATTTTGCGCGTTTAAGTACAAGGGAGCGAAAAGCTATAATTAGTCTTCACAATAAGGGTAAATTTACAGAAGCCAAACTTTTAATAAAACACCGGCGGCAATATTCAAGGTTATTAAAACCTTCAAGAACGATGACCGCGTTGAGCGCAGATATTCCCAGGACCGCCCGAAAATGACAACAAAAAAGCTACTACTCGAATAAAAAGCATGTGAGCAGCAGACCCAATACTTTCTGTTCCGAAAATCCACGCCCACCTCGCATCAGAAGGTAAAACAGCACCTACTCTCTCCACTATTCGTAGAAGGCTGCATGTAAACGGAAAGCATGGGAGAGTTAAACGGTGTTCACATGAGGAAATTTTAGAGGCGATTACTTAAATCAAAAGTTGGCTAGCCCACAACTTCATTGCAAGCGATTAGTTCAAAGGCCGTGCACACCAGGCGATTGTTGCTTTCAACTAAAAGTTTCTTGAATACACCAAAATATACGTACATATATACTGCATTTGTACCTACTAGGGATGTTGCGGATGTGAAATTTTAGACATCCGCGGATGCGAATGCGGATGCGGATGTCAAGTATTTTTAAAAAACAATTAGAATCCAGCATAATGGCGAGATCGTTGTTTAAACAGCGCTTACAAGCCAAACCAGATACATATGTCAAGTTGTTTCAGAATTTGGAGAACCTGTAACTTTATCAGAACTTTTCGATTTTAGTTTTTGTAATTCATTTTTAATACTTTCTTCTGCGACTGCTTTGAAAAATTGGTGCTTATAGCCAGCTAAATAGGTGGACATGGAAAATAGATTATTATTTTTGAACAAAATTCTGTTTTCAAAGTCGTGGCTGCCAGCCGAATCGGATCAGAATATTGTTAGTTTTTTTTAAAGCACCCCGTTTTTTTTTTATAAGCATTTGAATAACAGATAGTTACGTAATTCTTACCTAATTAAAGGTCAGACCTATAGCTTTTTAATTATTTGAGCATCAATTCTCTTTATAGCTAGACGTTGATTCTACTGGATTTCTACTGGAAATCCCTATTGAAGGAGCTTACTCATTGACATTAAATAGCAAAGAAGGGACAGTTTTACCACAGAAGTTTTTAGCCAAGGATCCAGTGTATATCCCTATGAAAGAAATATTATCCAACAAGTAAACAAAACTACTGTTTTTAAAATGTTTGCTAAAAATAAATTCCCCAAAGAGCCCCATTTGAAATTATTCAAACGAATATATGTAATAGGTGGCATACGCGGTACGTCTGACTCACGAGTCATTTGTGTGCGTGTTGACTCGCCTTCGACTACACACAGTTGAATCATTCAGAGTCATGCCGGGAGTCATGTTGGTGTAACTAACACATATTTATTTTCACAAACACCATCCAATCAGACGCACCGTGTATGCCGCCTATAACATCAAAAGCAAATCACGAAAATTTTGTTAATAATTAAGCAAAAAAAAAAATTGCAAAATATTCGCTCTCGCAAAAGCTCCGCATTGATTATTGCGGATGCGAAAGCGAATGCGAATGTTAAAATTAATGCGGAAGCTCCGATGTTGCGAATGCGAATATTGGCAACAACCCTTGTACCTACAATGATGCAACACATGGACACTAGCGTATGCACATACATACATGTATAGATATGCGTGTTGCTGTTCATAAGTACCCTGCGGTGAAACCCCAAACTAGTCAGGAAAAATATTAGTTTACAACTAGAATTTCCTGACTGAAACCAAACTAGTTCGAAAATGACGAGACTTTTACCAAGTACAAAATGATTTATTCATTCCCGGTTTTATTTGACTTCGACAGTTTAATACAATAGAGTACACAAAATATTGTAACTTTTATTTGGGTATTGGGTTATTGGTATTGTAAACCGTTAAAGCGAGTACGTACTCGCAATTGTACCATACCTGTTAAATAATGTTTAATATTCACAATGATTATTAATTAAAGCATGTTTTTTGGATAACCGTTTAAAGTTGAAATACCGATATTAGCACCTTTTTAATGATTAATTAGTTAAACAAATTTTTGAGTTAATTCGTTAATTTTAATTACATCATTATTTTGTTATTTTTGATTAGTTTCAATTATTTTTTACTTTTTTAACTACATGATTAATATAATTATTTGATTAATTTCAATTATCAATCAACAAGCCAAAGTATAGACAAAAATTAAGAATATTTAATAACTGGTTGAATTATTTATTTACTTTATTCGTATCCAAATCTCAAATTTTAAGCATAAATTATTACTTTTAAAATATTTTATAAAGAAAGGACTGAAATGTGCAAAGTTAATGAATTTAATTTATTTTAATGAAAACTTTTATTCTTATTTTAGTTCACTCAAAAATGAACTAAAGTATTCGTTTTATTTTTAACTAAAATGTTTCCTTTTCCATATTCAATATTATTAAAAAAGATAAAAATATAGTATTTATTGGGGTTGGTATCGAAATTCTGGTACTACAAAATTCGGAACACGAAATTCTGCTTCTCAAAATTCTGCTTTTTGAAAATTTTGCTTTTTGAAAATTCGGCTTTTGACAATTCTGCTTTTCAAAATACTGAATTACAAAATTCTGTTTTAAAATATAATGTAAACAATGTTAAATTGGACATGTCATTACTTTAAAAAGTGCGCACTTTTTCAAAGTAATGCCATGTCCTATTTAACTTTGTTTACATTATATATTAATACAGAATTTTGATTTTCAGTATTTTTAATTAGTTTGTAAAAACTTGTATAACTTGAATTAATCATATCGCGAAATATTCTCCTTAGTTTTGGTCAGTGCATGACAGCATGTATCGGAAACCTTTTCTAGAACGTAAAACCGTGGCGAAGGGTGGCATCGCCGCAAAAAGTAGTTGTTGTAGGAAGCAATTCCCAGTTTCTATAATCTTGTATTGAATTTACAGAACTTTTTTTTTGCAAAATCTCAAATTTCCAGAAAAGATAACAAGAAATTAAAAAGAAGCAGCTTATAAAAACTATTATAAACGAAATTACTTATGTAAGTCGGAAGATGGAATTTTGACGGATCAAACCAAAAATTTAATATTTCTCGTGGTGAATACAAACATCAGTGGTGAATACAAACATAAAATTTTGACAGCTTCTAAATATATATATATGTACATACATAATAGGTTTGTTCCACACTCTACTTGTAGAAAAAGTCGAGCAAGGTTCAAACTGTGAGCGTATATCAAAGAAACTCTAAAACTTACTTGTGGAACGCGTATGTATGTGCAACTCGAAGTGACTTCGAGTAGCTTGTGGAACAAACCTAATATTGTTTGGCGGTATTAAAGATTCAAAATCAAAATGAA